TATCTGGTTCTAACTGTCGCTTCTTGGCCCTTATACAGGTTTCTCAAGAGATCTTTATGCTTTGCTTCGGATTTCTGTAATCCTAGTTTTATTATATTGGTTTTTAGATGTCCTATCTCATTGTCTTCATACAGTGTACATTGACTTACGGTGTCTTATCCTACTGTTTACATTGACTTACAGTGTGCATTGACTCATGGTATCTTATCCTTAATCTGTATTGATTTATGGTGTGCATTGACTTACAGCCTTTTATCACATTGTCCGTACCATGGGAGGGCTTGGCGTGATGTGGTCCTATTGTCTGTATTGACTTACAGTGTGCATTGAGTTATGGTGTCTTATCCTATTGTCTGCATTGACTTAAAGTGTGTAATTTATTTACATTACTTTTAGTCCCCCTGTGACTATACAGTGTCTATAGTCACTGGTGGGCTATAAATAATGTAAATAAATTATGCTGCATTTAAGAATGGAAACCCCAACTCCTCCTTTGTGGAAATCTTCATTACAAGTCTTGTCGGGGTCATTATTGTTTCTTACTTTCACATTTGATCTGATTTTCTAATGTTCCCCTTCAGAGACATGGACTGTTTGATTTTATTTCCTGTTCATTTTTGTTTTAAAAACCGTTGTTCTTTTATTTGATTTATTACAGCTGCCCATTCCTTTCCTTCAATTGGGTTTTATTTTCATCAGCTTTGGGGATATGAGATTTCCAGAAGCAAAGTTTCCTTTGTGAAAACTTTGACTCTCACAAACGTATTCCCCCCCCCAAAACCTGTTGGTCTCTGAGGGGCTACTGAACTGGCATCCAGCTCTTCTACTGCAGACCAACATGGCTGCCCTTGTGACCAGTGTTCCCTCTAAGCTGAGTTAGTGCGAGCCAGCACACAGCTTTTTAGCCTCCGGCTCACACATTTTTGTCTTCGCTCAGGAAGGAGGGCTCCAGAGAGAACTGATTCGTGCAATAGTCAAATCGCTCACTCACAACTTTAATGCCGGTTGCTCGCACATTTTTGCTCACAAGACTCCACAGGTTAGAGGGCGCATTGCTTGTGACACTTAGGCCGAGTTCAGACTGGCGGTTTGGCCCGGCAGGCAAACGTTTCAGTAGCGGATTAAAGGGGCGGGTTCAAACAGGCACATCTGTCAGGCGTCCCCCAGCCGTACTCACGCCCTCTTGTGCCACTTCCCTCCCAAGTTTAAAAAGTACCAGGTGAAAGTGGTAGTGAAGCGTGTCGAGCAGGTTGATTTCAGTTCCCTGAGTGTGAACACAAGCGCTGTTAAGGCGGGAACAACCCACAGTAATTGATAATAGGCACCGGCTGTTTCCTCCAGCAGGTGCTGTCGGGGCATGTGCGATCATGCCCTATTTGCTGCTGCACACATGTGCCCATGCACCTATGCGCATGGGCGCATGCAGTTCAGCGTGGAAAGAGCCACTAAGAGCCCACCAGGGCAGCCCAACAGTGTGAACGCTCCATTGCGCTTCCTCCACGGTAGCCTCCCACTTCATTCGCTGCTGTGTGAACGGGAATACCGCAACCAAGCCGTTCCAGGTCTGTTCTGTTTTTTCTTTGCCATGACTCCCTAGCGCTTCAAATTGCCAGTCTGAATGCGGCCTTAATATAGGTCTGTAAATGACTGTCCTGAGAACAAATGAGATTTCTATTTCTATGTGAAAGTACATGGCAAGAGATCAGCCAGCCAAACATCATATACAACTTTTTATTTGCATTAGAGATAAGGCCACTGACAAGGCAATAAACAGGAAGTTTGAGAAGTACAGCATCTATACAAGGAATGTGTAGTTCTTCCGTGTCATTAGTATTACTTAGTTACTTGCTGTGTACTTTACAATAGGTGTAAGAAGCATCTGGTACATGAACCTTCCAGGGAAAAGAGTAAGTCTGCTATTCCACTGAACACAACAAGCACTTACGTCTGACCAAGGACACACAGGATTTTACAGCTCAAACAAGAAAGAGTAAAATCCTACTCAACCAACATCAGAGGTCATTTCGGGGGGGATCGCGGGGGATCGCAGTTCCCCCGGGTGAGGTGCAGGGGGCAGGGCACATGACGAAGCCCCGCCCCCTGCTTCCGGCCGCCCTGCTTCCGGCCCTCATTCAGCCAGGAGGAGGCAGGAGAAGATTGAGGGCAAGTTGCTTCCTCCCTGCCTCTCCCCACCCCTGCCTGCCTGAGGCCAGGGAGGGCCTTCGATTTCCTTTACTTAAAACATCTTATCCAACCAATCAGTATAAAGAATTATTCTCTGGTAAATATGGATCTTTTTTGGGGTATATATATTTTTTTTTGAAAAACCCCTTTATTCCCACATTTCTCCCCAGTGGGGACCCAAAGGAGATTACCTCATTCTCCTCCCCTTGATTTTCTACTCCCCAAAACCCTGTGAACCACATTAGGGTTGGAGAACACGACTGGCCAAAGGTCATCTAGTGAGTTCCCGTAGCACGAGTGGGGATTTGAACCTGGGACTCCCAGATAACTGGCCCCACTCTCTTAACCACCACACAACATGAGCATAGGAGGCTGCCTTGTGCTGAGTAGAAGAGTCTATGAGACAGTCCAGGGTGGTTTATTCCAGCTGACAAGGACTCCCCCCGATTTCCAGAGATGCTCTGAAGGGGAGGGTGCCTGTGGAATGCAGTAGGTTTATTCTCGGGCATCTCCCTTGAAAAACGTCTCCTACAGCCTTGAAGAGCCCCTGGGAATCAGATGGTTGGCAATGTACAAAATGCATTTCCTGTCCCCAGAGAATGAGCTAGTGGGAGGTGAGATTGACATGTACCTGTGAAGGATCCGCTTTCTTCAGATATTTTGACTGGAAGATGGTTTCAGAGGGTAGCCATCTTGGGTCTGCAGTAGAACAGCTGGATCTGAGTCCAGCACCACCTTAGAGACCAGCAGGATTTCCAGGGTAGGAACTTTCAAGAGTCAAAGCCTCCTTCCGGAGATCCCATGGATTTCCACTCCATGCAGCTGAATGTGTTGCCTTCAATGGAGACAGTTTCCGAGGCTAGCCTTGTTGAGTGGAAGATGGCAACTTTCTATTGTCTTGGGGTGGAATGGCAGCGGACTTGCAGATAGAGTCTTCCAGTTCCAGCTGAGAAGGGGAAGTGTCTGCCGTTCTCCAAGTATGTCAGGGGGTGTGGCATATGCAAATAAGTAATGCTAATGAGTTACGCTAATGAGCTCCGGCATCTCTTTTTCTACGAAATGACCCCTGCCTCTAGCTATCCTGCTCTTAACACTTTTACTGCCACAATCATCTGTAATCAAATGTTCTTGTAATTGTTCTTATCTGTTGCATATGACTTTAAAGGTGTGGCCAGATATCACCTTTGTTTCCATCTTCTGGCATGAGCCTTTCGCTTCCATCTCTAAGCAATGGAAGGGCTGACGGGCAGCATTGTTGGGCTGTGTTCAGGGCATCAGTTGGTCTTAATCCAGCCCTGGTGAATTTGCCTCCCTGGTAGATTACAGCAGAACGGCTGAAGAAGGGGGTGCTGTAATGATTCCTTTCAGGGGCGCTGGCTCGCTTGTTTTGACTGGGTGGAACACATCTGGATTCCAGTTGTTTATGGCAGGGAAGGACTACAAAAGAGCACTCTTGTCATTCTAAGGCCATTCTTCTCAGTTCCAGTGGTGACATTCAATGGAAAAACAAAGAGGAAGAAAAGAAAAAGAGTGAGAAAAATGGTGGTCAAAAGTCCCCCACCCCACTTCTGTTGTATATTAAAACAGACTTTGCTGAACACATCCCCAGTGGCAGTAGTCATGACTGGGAGGCACAGCAGGGCATTCACAATAAACTGGTAATACTCTTCAATCATCCTTGAATGTGAATTAAGGAATATG